TCAGAAAGCCATCACAAGAAGAAAGCGTGATGGCAATTTTATTCGAATTAGTAGTCTTGGCTGTTTCACCAAGAGTTTCTCCAAGATTGCGATAAGATGCAATTGCTGATGTAGTAGATCCAAGTCCAATTAGACCTATCCTTTTCGAGCCAAGTCCACGAAGCCTGAGAACTATAGCCTGTCCGGTCTTTCCAGTAAAATCCTCTTCGGATGATTCTTTTGACAACAATCCACTGAGAAGGAAATGGGCAACTCAGTGACACCTACTCCAAGCAAGTCCCCTTCCCATTCCACCAAATCAATCTCTTTTGCCGCAAAAAAAAATGGCAGGAACCAAAAAGGCCAAAACCATGAACTCAAAACAGAACTATATATATAGCAAAGAAAAATCACTAAAAAAGGACGAAAAATTCAATTTCTTAAGGTGTGCAACTAAATAAATTGCTTAAATGTGAATTTTTATTTCATTACAGCAAATAAAACAATCTTGATTAGTCTGACTTGTAGTCCGATTCTGGATCTGTCTCTGTCACATAATACAAACACATTCATACAAGTTTTAATTTAAAAAATGAATCAAGATTCATGCAAGTAAAGACTTCAACAAGAAAAGAATACATCTAATAATTGAGTTAATTATCCCAATGATCACTGAACTTATATCTATATCTTCGATTGCTAACTGGATTTTAAGATGTCGAGTTTTGATTACTAAACTTATCCAAACGTTGGACGTTATTCACTAGTATAACATCCATTTCAAACCTTTAACGGAATTGGTGACGTAGCTAACGGAATACACATGTGGCGCCTCGTCACGCTGTTAATAAATTGTTACGTCTTCAATTGCTACTAAACTTTGAAAAACGTATTTGATTGCTCACTAAAGTTTGCAAAACGTCTTCGATTGCTCACTGAACTTTGAGGTGGTTGAATTTCGGCCACTAAACTTATAAAAATGAAATCGACGTGTTGTTTGTTAAGAAATGATTACGCAACTGCACAATAGTGAAATTTAATTTTAACATATTTTGTTGTAGAATTTTAAGCAATTTTCATCATTTGAAAATTTTAAACTATTGTATGTTTTCATCTTCTTCTTGTTGCTCGTAAGGTATTTTCATCTTCTTCTTGTTGCTCGTAAGGTATCCTTGATACCAAGTAACATAAAAAAATTGCAGTATTTTATAAAATCAAGGAAGGAGTCTGAGTTTGGAGCTGAAATTATGGACGAAATAACAAAGAATGCAGGAAGATGATAAACAGAGAAGCTGAAGTTATGGAACTAAAAATAATAGAGGACATATACCGGATAGAGCCTGCTGAATTACAGTAGGGAAGAAGATGAATTAACATTCAACTTGCTTAAGGAAAATACATTGCAATCTTATTCTATTTATAGAGGAAATACTAACCAATTATCTAACAA